CTCTGAAACCCATTTGGAAATGATGTGGATGAGCTACTGAACAAGAGAGCAAGACGTTTGCTCACGGAAGAGTTGGTAGATCCGCAGGCTGTGGGCATAGTTCAGCAAGGAACTAAAGATAGCTGCTATCTCCACACTACAGGTGAAGGGCTGCAGCTCAGAGAAGTTTATTCACTGGATCACAGCTGCAGAGCTAAGAAGCTGACTGGGCGGGGCTGTTCTGCTCAGACACAGGGAGGCAAGGGAAGGGGAGGAGCCAGGCCGCCTGCCTGCGTGTGGCTGTGAATCCCAGAGTGCCTGTTCCACAGGGCCAACATGGGTTTAAGGTGCTTACTGAGTCTGAAAAGGTCCTTCCCCAGCCTCCTTCCAGAGAGCAGCGGGAGCCTTCCAGAGTCCCAGTCCCTGTACCAGTTGACCAGGCCATCTTGCCCCTCAAGGTCCCGTTTACTGTAACAGGAACAGAGGATTGCACTCTGCGCTAACTGATCCAGGGTGTGGTGAGCTCCTGAACAAAGGGCTCAGAGCAACAGACCAGGAGGAGGGAAACCTCCTAGTGAGCCATGGGTTTCCCTGTCCAGCAGCAGCTCGGAGAATCTGGCCTCCTGCCCTGGCTTCTGCTGGGCCACAGAGTGGACCTGTAGCCTGGCTCTGCTGGTAGCTAGCTGCATGCCCCTGAACAGGCAGGTGACCTTTCTGATTAGGTTATTCTCAGAAAAACTGAGATCATCAAAGGTGTACACATTTGCTGCAAGAATCAAGTAAGTCAAATCTAGAAAGGTGCCTGGACATAACAGGTAATGAATAAAAATTGGTTGTGATTGTTTCAGTATCATCGCTGGGGCTGGGTGGCAGCCTCTGCCCTGCCTGCCCCCTTCTTAGGAGCATCTCTTATGCACATGTTCCTTTGGGCTCCATTGGAGAGTGACACAGGAGAGAAAGGGCGACATCTGTGGTCAAGACTCCGAAGTCCAGAGTCCTGTGGGACTGGAAATAGTGTTGGGCCCCTTGGGAAAAATCCAGGTTGCCATGATAACTCAGTGTCTGCTTATGAATATGAGAATCTGTAACAATTTAAGAGCTTATTTCTCTATCAGAAAGATAGATACCATAGTGTATCTATTGATGTCTGTATGTCACATTTCTTTACTGAATTCTTCCATTTGTGCATAATGTTCTGTAACTCATTAAGACTGATACTGATCTCTGCACAGCTGTGTGCTTCTATAGTAAGTAATAGCATGATAGCACTAATAAACTTAATAAAATTATAACACTTGAGTTAAATACAAATATTTGGGGGGCTGGGGAGATAGCTCAGTAGAATAAGCACTTGTCTGGCAAGGGCAGGATCCTGAGTTCAATCCCCTGTACTGAAAAAAAAAAATCAAAATTTTTATATCAGGTTTACCAAAATATAATTCAACAAATTGAGACTAGAGAAATGTGGGAAGGAATTTTTGCTTTTTCCCATATAACCAGAGTCCTAAAGTCTCATTTTCTACTCTTCTGTGCTAGAAGTGAAGTGATAAGCGGCTCTGTATGTGAATCTGTGGGCAGTCACAGTCTGCAGCCCCCAAGTGTTGGCCCTGTTCACATCGGGCTTTGTTGTGCTTTCTCAAATCCACTCACTCAGTCTTTACGCATCCACTGTGAACTGAGCAGAGTTCGCCCAGTTATTAACTGAAACGCATAGTGGAACAATCAGCCCTCCTCGCTGGTGGATTATCTGCAAGCAAACTGTTCATCACAGACCTGGAATGAAAATGAATTTCAGGCCCCATGTAAACAAAATATAATTACAAAGCTAAACTTGATAGTAAGAAAAATAAAGAAATCTTCAAACACAAAAGAAATTATTAAAGTTAATTTACTTAAAAAATTAAAGTTAAATTATTTAAGTTAATTTACTTCCACTAGCTTGGACAACTTGAAGTTTAACTCAACAAATATGCACTGTGTATCTGATGTACACTAAATGCCCTGCTCTTTTCCAAGCTCCCCGCCCTCTAGTTGGCATCCAGTGACAAAAGAAGGTAGTGTTTCTTGGGTATGCCATGGACACAGGGAGGCTTCGATCATCACTTATCAAATGCCTTTGCATTGTATTCAGTGAAATGGTTTCTGCTCAGCGGATTAAAGCACCTGCAAACAGGCCCAGGGCCCAGGGTTCAATCCATGCTGGCCCCACCTCTGGGGTGCGCTGAGACTGTGACTGAGACTGGGCATGGTGGCACATGCCTGTAGTCCCCCCAGCTCTTGGGAGGCTGTAAACAGGCGGATCACCGCAAGTCCAATCTAGTAGTGAGACCCTGAACACCCTGTAGACCTTTCCCTACAAAAAAAAAAAAAAAAAAAAAAAAAAGAAAAGAAAAGAAAAGAAAGAAAGAAAGAAAGAAAGAAAGAAAGAAAGAAAGAAAGAAAAGAAATGGGTTTCTGTCTTTTGCTCAGCCCCTCTGCTGAGGGCTGCATGGCCATCCTTACAGAGTCTGCCCCAGCATGAGGTGCCAGGCTCTGCTTTCCTCCACCTACTCTCTTTGATCTTGGGCCCTTTCCCTAACTAGGAAGGAGGGAAAGCCTGTAGGCCAACACCTCTTAAAACACCAAATTGCCTTATTTAATAATAGTATTCATTCCTGTATTTTCCTGGAAGGATCCATAAATGTTTAAAACTTCTGGCTACTTATCCGCTTGAGCATTTTATCCCAATGAAATATGCATGGTGTGATCTCATGAATACTGTAAAAAGAGGCTTCGCAGGAGCTTGGCATCTTGACACCTGCTGAAATGACCATTGGCTAAGTGAGGTTCCTACAAGCCGCCAAAAAAACAGCAGAAACCACATGATGCAGAAGGATGCCTGCTCCTATTTTTAGTATGGCCTGAGTGGTGCCCCGCAGCCCAGCATACTGACACCTGCCACGTGTCTCCTTCTTACAGTCACTTGGGCGGCATCAAAGAGACATGGAAGGGTCGAAGCTGGTCCCCGAGTTCCAGCATGACTGGTCGGCTCTCTACAGGTAACTTGAGTCCAGAGACCAGACTGGATTACTGTCACTGCTCTGCTCATCTTCAGCATTTGCCTTGTTGCCCTCTCACCAACCCTTTTAAGCACCAGCACATAAACCCCAGGGCTAGATCCTCCAGTCTTTGAGATGTTGAGCTATCAACTCCAAACCACCCTCGCAGCCAGCTCTTCTACCACCTCCCAGCTGTGTCCAGGGAACAGAAAGAAACCAAGGTCTTCTTATTGTCTGGTGCTTGTGTTCCTTACATGTTTTTCACCTGCCTCCTTGCTGAAGACTGGTGCCATCCACACTGCAGCAAGCACCGGGGTGACACTGCTTCTGCTACAGGGGCAGGCCAAGCGGGAGCCTCTGTAAGGAGCCGCTGCATTCATGCAGGTCTGGGCCTCTCTCCTCCTTCTCTGAGGTCAGTCTCGTTTGGTCCCAGGAGTCCCCCAAAGTGGACATGAGGAAGCTCTACTCACTCCACCCAGGGTAAGTTTTGGGTTTACTGACTTCCATCACAGAAAAAGAATTGTTGGGCTGGGGAGATAGCTCAGCGGTTTAAGCACCTGCCTGGCAAATGCAAGGTCCTAAGTTTGATCCCCAGTACCAGAGAGAGAGAGAGAGAGAGAGAGAGAGAGAGAGAGAGAGAGAGAATTGTCACCCAGAGACACAAAAAGGTTTATTGTGGCAGAATGTTTTCATTAGAACATGTTTGCAGTACATGTTTACATTCCTCGTGAGGAGTTAGTACATAACACATCTCATGTAAGAGAAACCATGTGATATTTAAATTATGTGTCTGATTTATTTCACTTAGCATTGTGGTCTCAAGATCTATCCATTTCCCTGCAAATCACTCAAGATTGTTATGGCAGAGTAGCAAGTACTCCACTGTACATAAATACCACATTCTATTTTGCATTCTGCTGCTGATGGACATACCCGCTGCCTCCGAGATTCAGCTACTATGAACATGCTGCTATAAATATGAGTGTGCGTGATGTATCATTGTATTATGATGTCTTAAGTCTTTAGATAAGATACCTAGAAGAGGAATAGCTGGGCCAAGTGGAATTTCTATTCTTACTTTTTTGAGGACTTTCCACACTGATTGCCATGGTGGTTATAGTAGTTTACATTCCCACCATTTAAAGAGTTGCCTTTCCCCACTTCCGCCAGCATTTGTTATCATTGGATTTCTTGAGGATAGCCATTCTTCCGGGTTGAGATGGCATAGAAAGCCTGCCGGCCGCGGTGTGATGATGGGTGCCGCTTTTTTCTGCAGGGTTTACGCGTGGAGCGGTGATATAAGGGAAAGCAAACCACTTACCTGTGTTTGAGGATGAGATACTATCAGGTGAAGCAGAGCACCTGCAGACGGGGTTAGGAGAGGACACAATTTACAGATGAACGGCACTGGCTGAGAGCCAAGTGTACAGGCTTCTTGTCTTTTAAGACCCTTTAAAAGATGTTTTTGGAGTTTCCTGGAGGGGCGGGGAAGCTTGAGTAATTGTTGTGTTCTAAACGTTACAGTCTTTCTTTAAAGCCCAATTTTAGAATTACATTTTTCTTGTCCCCTTTTTACCTTTGTATTTCTACCGTCCCATCTCACGTTCTGAAAGGGCTTCACCAGGTGAGTGAGGCCCTTTCAGACCCGGAGTAGGGCGGATGGGTTTGGCCAGGGGCTGGCTCGCTCTGAAGGCCCTGCTGTAGCCTGGGGCGCGCAGATGCTATCTCAGGGCACCCAGGCCAGATCCAGGTGGGACAGGACTGGAGGCCAGAAGGTCCAAGGAACAAGGTTTGGACCCTGGCCGCCGCCCAAGCCCCGCCCCGCCCCGCCCCGCCCTCCGCCGCGGCCCCGC